ATTCTAAGGCACTGAACCAGTTTTGGATAGGAAATTCGATTTAGGGAAGAAATCATTTAGAATCTACGCTCAGTCAGTTTCACTCATTAGGCCACAACCCCAAAATAAACAAAAATAATTACATTATTAGCTTAAGCAGGCCTCTGAAAATAAAAATTTTGATTGTGGTCAAATGTGGCACTTAATAGTGCTATTTGAATTTCACACGCATGTGCTTGTCAACCTAATACTTCCTTTCAATATATAATTGATCCAACAGTGTTCAGTCATCCAAGAGTCAGCAACATCATTATACAACAACACTACAATCATCAACACTAAGTTTTAAACAAAATTCTTGTATGTTTTAACACTGACAAGGACTTTTGTGACAGGACAGAAATGCCGAGGCAGAAAACAAAATTTGTTAAAGGAAAATTCTGGGTTCAATAAAAGTTCAGCTCAATCAACATCATTTGAATAATAATGTTGATTAACACAAAGCAATTTTGACTTGTCCCGTTTTGTTAAAAAAGCAAAAACTGAGGTTATGGTGAGGCACACTGGAATGTAAGTGAATGGGGACAATTTTTGGAGAATTAAAAGCAGAAACATGACTCTTAAAATTTTATAAAAACACTTATACATTATTCTGTTAAAAATTATGTATTATGTCACAAGCACTGTACGTATACTTCAGTGTATATATGTGTAAAAACCAAAGTATACTTTGAGCTTTATGTTGTCATGGAAGTTGTAAAATTAGATACAACTTTACACAGAAAAGGTAAGAGATTTGTTTCCCCCAAATTAAAATCATGTTAACATATTTTGTTTATGTCTTATTGAAACAGTGAGTATTTAAATGTTTATGGATTGGCCCCATTCACTTCTACAGTAAATGCCTCACTGTAACAGATTTTTTGCTCTCTTTTTTTAAAGAAAAGGAAGGAAAGGTGGAAATTAATTTTTGTTGTAATCAACAAATGCTGTTGACTGAGCTTAACTTGTACTAAATCCAGAATATTCCTTTAACAGACATTGTGTGTTTGCACGAATATAATTATGTCAAACACTACGTCATTCCACAGTCACTGCGTCCACACTCTCCTGAGAGACCTCAGAGTCCAGTGAGTAGCAGGAGCTGCCGTTATCCTGAGTGTCCTTGGCTGCCTCCTCTCCTGTGGCTGTGGTAATATCTGGCTGGCCCTCACAGCCATGGAGCAGCTGCCCGCAGAAGCGGCTGTAGCGATGGTATCGCAGCGGCTTGCCCACATGTGCGAACATGTGCTCCTGCAGCTGGCTCTTCTGCGAGAAGCGAAGGTTACAGACGGCACAGGCCATCTTTCGTTTTCGCGTGAAGGCTGCCAACGGGCTGCCGCTCCGTCCAGTCCCACTACCTCGCCTGAGTTCCACAGCCAGCTCATCTGCCAGGGCCTGACTCTGCCGTAAGGCCTCCTCCAGACTGCCAGAGTCTATGCGCTCATTGTGAGGCCGCCTCTCCTCTAGGGACTTGTGCTCCCCGGTTTTGTCCTCTGAAGGGCCTTCCATCAGACCACTAGGCTCGAGGGCACAGGCTGCATGGGTAAATAGGTGCTCTTGTAGGCCTTCAGGTGACAGACAGCGTTCACCGCACCGGGGGCATAAAAGTGCTAGAGGGCCATCTTTGAATAGACCCACTTGACAGGGGCTCACCTGAGCTGGGGAGAGAGAGCAAGGCTCTTTGTCACATTCCTGTTGTTCTTCCTCCTCTACCCTTTCCTGTTTGATCCGTGCCAAAATGTCAGAGTCGTCCCCCGAGGCCACTGAGGATGCGGCGTGGAAGCTTTGAGGCTGTCGCTCAGACGTAATGCCCTCTAGCCCTACAGCGAGAGCTAAACGGCCATGTGTGCGATCGGCCCTAGTGCTGGACCGGCCATCCTCAGGGTCCCGTGAACCACCAGCCTTCAGGCCCGAATTCTCTTTACTGGCCAACTGTGAAGAGATCTGGATGCCATACAGGTTGGACATACGGATGGGCTCAGAGGATGCATCGGGGCCACCCTCACCTGTTTTGCGGCAGAGCTGGTATGCATGGAGGAACTTGATACCTTCTTGAAGTCTGCCCTGGTCTACAGGTTGTTTGGGACCCATGCCTGTGTACATGATGTGTAACAGGTAGCTGAAGACATCTGGTTGAATATCTGTGGGCTGGATCTTGATGCACTCACTGAAAAAGCAGGAAAGTCATCAAAAATACAATCAGCAATTTATTAATCATGCAAAGTATGGTTAAGAACAGTCATTTTTTTCTATATTTGGCATTATTATTAATATGCAACTTTTAATATTTATCAATCAAGCTATCTTGACTTCCTCCCCATGCTTGTTTGATTATCAGAGTATGTAAGCATGATAGGTGACCCTTCAGTTCAGTACCATTATGTTGATACACTTCAAGAAACATCCACTAACCTGGACTGGTGGATGAAGATCATTTTGAAGTAGTTTGAGAAGGCAGCAAGGACTGCACGATGAGCCTTGAAGTATACGTTACCAATGGCAACAGTGCAGTCACACAGAAAGCCAAACTCCCTTTGGACGTTCAGCTGCTGCAGAAGGAACAGACTGTGGCCAGACACGTCCATCTCAACCTGTTACATAGAACATACATACATGCATAGAAGACAAATGTCATATAAATTCATATGCATAAATTGAATAGCCTACTAATTAATAATACTAGAATGTTTTGTTCAGGTGAAATACAGCAACTTTAAGAAAAACTTTGATATTAATTAATATTGTATATTTGAAAAAAAATTATATTTTAAAAGAAATTGCACAATTTTTTTTTTCAAAATGCATGAAACCACTATGAATACCAAGGCATATACTTTTAATCTAGATTTCTCCTTTTTGTCTTCTCAGACATTCTTATTTTTTTCTTGTCCTAACAACTCACTTCATTGGTTGATTCTGGCACTTGGTCCATCATGTGGAGAGACATTCTCCACATGATGGACCAAGTGCCAGAATCAACCAATGAAGTGAGTCTCACTGATGAGCCTTAGTTGTAAGAGTAACTGGCGACCTCTATCGATCAAAATAGCTATAATATTTAAAAAAAAATTGAGACTACCCAGCTGTTTACATCTGGATAGGACTGCCATTTGTTTTGTTTTTTTACAGTGAAACCTACTATGACAGTGCTTTGTTAAATGACATTCTTACATTTCTCATAAAAACAGGATTGCCGTAAGAACTACGTTGTACGTGTTTATTAATATATAACTTAATCTACAGCAGAATGTCATATTGTATCATTGTATAAATTTTTTCTTTCCTTAATATGAACGGAGAAACAGCAACGACTGGCTTGTATTTAATGTTTACAATGCAACATTTTAAAATCTTTGATTGTCGACCTGACCAGACAATACCTGACAGCGATTTCTTAAAATCATTGCACAAAAGGACATTTACAAACAGCAATTGTTCGTCGCGTAGGAAAATGTCATGAATGGATAATACACAAAAGAGCGTGTATGAGCTATTTAGTTCATGCTTGTGTAATATGCATGTTCAGACTCCCAGTAGATTTGTCCGCGACAGAATCATCATTTTCACACGTCTGGTCTACACCGATCAAGTGTTGTCGAAGAAACGGTGTACGTTTTCATGCACCTTGGCCAACAAAACATGCATGCACCAACGCACAGACATAATGCATTCACACAGTCCAAAAAATGCGTTCTTACCAACTATACGAGAGAAACGGATAATAATTTCGTGTTTGTTGCAGCAGGAAAATTCTCTTATGGTCTCGCGGTTCTTCCTAAGAGATTGACGGCTAAGCTTGTTATCCGTCACGTGACCGTACTGTACATTCGCATATCCAGAAGCACACATAGTGGAAACATACAATGCAAACGCTTTGCTCGTATACATGCTCGTTCGTTGCGTTTTTGTTCTTTTGTGTCGAAGGACGACTAAGGCGCACATATATAAATAGACTATGCAGTTATATCTAGTGTGGAAAAGTCGCTAAACCGAAATGCATGACGTATGACAACTTGCATAGACGAGAGAGCAAAGCCAGTTCTGCAAAAGGGTCTGACAGACCTTCTGAGGCGCTCATGAATTTGCTTGATTGTAACACACCTATGTAGGAACACCTCTAACAATTTGAACACTTGAAAAATTATACGTCTTTAAACTCATCTGTTTCACAACATTTATCATATATGCTATAAAGATCTAATCAGACGGATTTTGGTTTAGTGTGTCATTATTGTGGTGTGGATTTACGATTAGTGTTGACCTATTTTACTTTTTAAATAATTATTGGACTAGTCAACTGTTAGCAAGTTAGCAAGCAGTCAACTGACTGAATGTATAAAAAAAAATTTTTTTAATATATAATTGAGAATTGCAATTATGTAAAAATTTACATTCTAAACTAAAACATGTTAATGGCCTATAAAAGCTGTGATCATGTAAAAACATATCGTACAAAAATAGTGATATTTCTGATGCTTACATAAGAAATGAGAATTCTCAACAAGCTTTTTTTTAGCAGAAATTCAGCTTGGCATGATGGTAATGCCAGCAATACAGAGGAAAGCGATATTTGTATACAAAAATGTTAATATATAGGCCTACACATAAAAAAACAAATGATTTGAAAGTAGTTATTGTGTAAAAGGTGCGAAATGTATGCTATGTAACATTATTCTATTTCGTTTTCAAGCACGAATGTTACCGCAAGGGCTCGTTCTGAAGAGCGTATTTTCATACATGGTTTGGTTGCATTTTCACTGTGCTGCGCGTGCTGGGGCGGGCTGGATTTGCGTGAGCGGGGCCGGATCTCAGTGCGGTGATAGAGCTCGCAGAGCGGCTGTGCGGAAGTTCTTTCATCCGCGCTGCACAGAAGGGGCTTCGCCCTCGAGATTAGCTATTCTCGTCCCAAGTTTTCGCTTGGACGAAGCCAAAAGAGGTGGAACTTCTTCGCTCTGTGTTTTAACTTGAATTCCGTCGTTCGCTACAAGTTAGCGCCCATTACCGTCGGTGAGTATTTTCAGTGTGTTTTGCGTGTAAACACGAGCCGCAGTAATGTGAAGCTCATAGCGTATGTGCGGGAAGCTGCGCGGGGGTGGCGCTGCATGCTTGCGTGAGAGATCTCCCTACGACATTGGTCAGATATATTCTGTTCTGTCGTCTCTTAAGTAACATATCCTTTAAAAACTTTATGTTGTCCCTAAGGATAATCGTATGGTCAGATCTATAGTGTGTCGTCCAAGTAGTTTGATTTTACTTTTAAGTGCGGTATGATTGACAGCCACAACGCCCGCATGATTCTGTCTCTAAAATAGGCCAATGAGAACGCGGGGGCGGGATGTAAACCTCTGTTAGGCTTTATTATGGAGCTGAACGACGGAAACAAGTACTATTTAAACCAACTCTTACTAAGCTTATTGATTATGCCTATATGAACACAATTTCTATCTTCTGCTGTCATCTGCTTTTTATGATTTTATTCTGAATGGTAAAAAGTTTGCAAAGAAACTGAAGATTCCACTAGACTCCGTTAATTATTATAGCCCAATCAATTGAGTTTATTGACCAAGTTTGCCCTTATAAGGAGTTATACCTGCCGAGTTGCTCAGATGGTTACAGATCAGTGCAAACTATTTCATTTTTATTTATTTTTAATATTAATAGCGAAGCAAGGAAAAATAATCAAACCTAAAATATTTAAACCTATCATTAATAATAATTAAAAAATATTGTCTGACCTTCCACTTATATTTGCTTTGTTGTTTCACATTGGCAAAAGTCTATTACGTAATCTTTAGTGTTACATCCAATACTGACAAGACATCTAGTTGATTTGTGAGTTTGACTATTTTTCTTTGGAGTCAGTAAGATTAAAAAAAGAAAAAAAGAAATTTACTTTAATCAGCAAGGATGGATTAAATTGATCAAAGGTAACCATAAAGAAATGTATAATGTTACAATAGATTTCAAATTAATTATTTTCTTTTGAACTGTCTATTCATCAAAGAACCTAGAAAAAAATGTATCATGGTTTCCACAAAAAATATTAAGCAGCACATCTGTATTCATCCTTGATAATAAGAAATGTTTCTTGAACCTCCAAATCAGCACAAAAAAATGGAGTAATGGCTGCTGAAAATGTAGCTTTGCCATCACAGAAATATATTATATATTAAAATAGAAAATAGTTATTTAAAATTGCACTAATATTTCACAATATTACTGTTTTTTTTGTGCTTTTAATTAAATAATTGCAGCCATACACATTCACACATCTTTGGCTGTTTTTGGGTGTCCTGTCATGAGTGTTGTGTTTTTTTAAGGCAGCATGTTAAGTTAAAAATAGTCCAACTTTTAAAAATGTATCTTGAGATCTGTGCACTCCATTCCATTCCACAGTTAGACCAACTCTTGCAAATCAATACATAATAGCCATGATATTATCATGATAGTCATGGCCAAAGGGCGTGAAAAAAAGATATCTTACGTTTTTCTTTACGATTCCTTACAGGGCAATGGCAAGGCCAAGCCACAGTGAGCATGTCCTGCAGCAGCTCAACAACCAAAGGGAGTGGGGTTTCCTCTGTGACTGCTGCATTGCTATAGGGGATATTTATTTCAGGGCCCACAAGGCCGTGCTGGCAGCCTGCAGCTCTTACTTCAGAATGATGTTCATCCGGGATCAGCAGGGGACGGCACGTTTTGATCTCAGCAACATGCAGATCAGCGCAGAGTGCTTCGATCTCATCCTGCAGCTCATGTACCTTGGCCGAATCGTCGTGGATCACTATGAATTTGAAGAGCTGAAATCATCTATGGCCTACCTACAAATGTACTACATCCCCGACTCACTTGAGGACCTCAGAGATATCCGAACATCCAATCTGACACCCTCGTCTTCTGCATCGTCCTCTTCATCATCCAGCTCCTCATCCAGTGTGGTGGGAAGCAAGATGATGTTCGGCGTTCGAATGTTTGAGCAGCAGCGACCAAGCCCTTCTGAGAATGAATGCGCACCAAAAGCCTCAACCACAACTGCTCGTCAGACCATTAATATCTCAACTGTCAGGCCTGCTGAAGATGTGGTCATACCACACCCTCCGCCACAATCGGAGACTGTTGTAGACCAACCATGTGACTTAAGGAAGAGAACATTAGGCCGAAGCTCTGCCATGAAAGAACGTCCTCGATTTGGCCGTACATACACTTGCGACGATTGCGGTTTTGTGTTCAGCTGTGAAAAGCTTCTAATTGAACACATCCTCACATGCACCAATCGCAAAGCTTTTCAGACCACATGATGGACCAAGTGCCAGAATCAACCAATGAAGTGAGTCTCACTGATGAGCCTTAGTTGTAAGAGTAACTGGCGACCTCTATCGATCAAAATAGCTATAATATTTAAAAAAAAATTGAGACTACCCAGCTGTTTACATCTGGATAGGACTGCCATTTGTTTTGTTTTTTTACAGTGAAACCTACTATGACAGTGCTTTGTTAAATGACATTCTTACATTTCTCATAAAAACAGGATTGCCGTAAGAACTACGTTGTACGTGTTTATTAATATATAACTTAATCTACAGCAGAATGTCATATTGTATCATTGTATAAATTTTTTCTTTCCTTAATATGAACGGAGAAACAGCAACGACTGGCTTGTATTTAATGTTTACAATGCAACATTTTAAAATCTTTGATTGTCGACCTGACCAGACAATACCTGACAGCGATTTCTTAAAATCATTGCACAAAAGGACATTTACAAACAGCAATTGTTCGTCGCGTAGGAAAATGTCATGAATGGATAATACACAAAAGAGCGTGTATGAGCTATTTAGTTCATGCTTGTGTAATATGCATGTTCAGACTCCCAGTAGATTTGTCCGCGACAGAATCATCATTTTCCATTTTTGAGACTACCCAGCTGTTTACATCTGGATAGGACTGCCATTTGTTTTGTTTTTTTTACAGTGAAACCTACTATGACAGTGCTTTGTTAAATGACATTCTTACATTTCTCATAAAAACAGGATTGCCGTAAGAACTACGTTGTACGTGTTTCTTAATATATAACTTAATCTACAGCAGAATGTCATATTGTATCATTGTATAAATTTTTTCTTTCCTTAATATGAACGGAGAAACAGCAACGACTGGCTTGTATTTAATGTTTACAGTGCAACATTTTAAAATCTTTGATTGTCGACCTGACCAGACAATACCTGACAGCGATTTCTTAAAATCATTGCACAAAAGGACATTTACAAACAGCAATTGTTCGTCGCGTAGGAAAATGTCATGAATGGATAATACACAAAAGAGCGTGTATGAGCTATTTAGTTCATGCTTGTGTAATATGCATGTTCAGACTCCCAGTAGATTTGTCCGCGACAGAATCATCATTTTCACACGTCTGGTCTACACCGATCAAGTGTTGTCGAAGAAACGGTGTACGTTTTCATGCACCTTGGCCAACAAAACATGCATGCACCAACGCACAGACATAATGCATTCACACAGTCCAAAAAATGCGTTCTTACCAACTATACGAGAGAAACGGATAATAATTTCGTGTTTGTTGCAGCAGGAAAATTCTCTTATGGTCTCGCGGTTCTTCCTAAGAGATTGACGGCTAAGCTTGTTATCCGTCACGTGACCGTACTGTACATTCGCATATCCAGAAGCACACATAGTGGAAACATACAATGCAAACGCTTTGCTCGTATACATGCTCGTTCGTTGCGTTTTTGTTCTTTTGTGTCGAAGGACGACTAAGGCGCACATATATAAATAGACTATGCAGTTATATCTAGTGTGGAAAAGTCGCTAAACCGAAATGCATGACGTATGACAACTTGCATAGACGAGAGAGCAAAGCCAGTTCTGCAAAAGGGTCTGACAGACCTTCTGAGGCGCTCATGAATTTGCTTGATTGTAACACACCTATGTAGGAACACCTCTAACAATTTGAACACTTGAAAAATTATACGTCTTTAAACTCATCTGTTTCACAACATTTATCATATATGCTATAAAGATCTAATCAGACGGATTTTGGTTTAGTGTGTCATTATTGTGGTGTGGATTTACGATTAGTGTTGACCTATTTTACTTTTTAAATAATTATTGGACTAGTCAACTGTTAGCAAGTTAGCAAGCAGTCAACTGACTGAATGTATAAAAAAAAATTTTTTTAATATATAATTGAGAATTGCAATTATGTAAAAATTTACATTCTAAACTAAAACATGTTAATGGCCTATAAAAGCTGTGATCATGTAAAAACATATCGTACAAAAATAGTGATATTTCTGATGCTTACATAAGAAATGAGAATTCTCAACAAGCTTTTTTTTAGCAGAAATTCAGCTTGGCATGATGGTAATGCCAGCAATACAGAGGAAAGCGATATTTGTATACAAAAATGTTAATATATAGGCCTACACATAAAAAAACAAATGATTTGAAAGTAGTTATTGTGTAAAAGGTGCGAAATGTATGCTATGTAACATTATTCTATTTCGTTTTCAAGCACGAATGTTACCGCAAGGGCTCGTTCTGAAGAGCGTATTTTCATACATGGTTTGGTTGCATTTTCACTGTGCTGCGCGTGCTGGGGCGGGCTGGATTTGCGTGAGCGGGGCCGGATCTCAGTGCGGTGATAGAGCTCGCAGAGCGGCTGTGCGGAAGTTCTTTCATCCGCGCTGCACAGAAGGGGCTTCGCCCTCGAGATTAGCTATTCTCGTCCCAAGTTTTCGCTTGGACGAAGCCAAAAGAGGTGGAACTTCTTCGCTCTGTGTTTTAACTTGAATTCTGTCGTTCGCTACAAGTTAGCGCCCATTACCGTCGGTGAGTATTTTCAGTGTGTTTTGCGTGTAAACACGAGCCGCAGTAATGTGAAGCTCATAGCGTATGTGCGGGAAGCTGCGCGGGGGTGGCGCTGCATGCTTGCGTGAGAGATCTCCCTACGACATTGGTCAGATATATTCTGTTCTGTCGTCTCTTAAGTAACATATCCTTTAAAAACTTTATGTTGTCCCTAAGGATAATCGTATGGTCAGATCTATAGTGTGTCGTCCAAGTAGTTTGATTTTACTTTTAAGTGCGGTATGATTGACAGCCACAACGCCCGCATGATTCTGTCTCTAAAATAGGCCAATGAGAACGCGGGGGCGGGATGTAAACCTCTGTTAGGCTTTATTATGGAGCTGAACGACGGAAACAAGTACTATTTAAACCAACTCTTACTAAGCTTATTGATTATGCCTATATGAACACAATTTCTATCTTCTGCTGTCATCTGCTTTTTATGATTTTATTCTGAATGGTAAAAAGTTTGCAAAGAAACTGAAGATTCCACTAGACTCCGTTAATTATTATAGCCCAATCAATTGAGTTTATTGACCAAGTTTGCCCTTATAAGGAGTTATACCTGCCGAGTTGCTCAGATGGTTACAGATCAGTGCAAACTATTTCATTTTTATTTATTTTTAATATTAATAGCGAAGCAAGGAAAAATAATCAAACCTAAAATATTTAAACCTATCATTAATAATAATTAAAAAATATTGTCTGACCTTCCACTTATATTTGCTTTGTTGTTTCACATTGGCAAAAGTCTATTACGTAATCTTTAGTGTTACATCCAATACTGACAAGACATCTAGTTGATTTGTGAGTTTGACTATTTTTCTTTGGAGTCAGTAAGATTAAAAAAAGAAAAAAAGAAATTTACTTTAATCAGCAAGGATGGATTAAATTGATCAAAGGTAACCATAAAGAAATGTATAATGTTACAATAGATTTCAAATTAATTATTTTCTTTTGAACTGTCTATTCATCAAAGAACCTAGAAAAAAATGTATCATGGTTTCCACAAAAAATATTAAGCAGCACATCTGTATTCATCCTTGATAATAAGAAATGTTTCTTGAACCTCCAAATCAGCACAAAAAAATGGAGTAATGGCTGCTGAAAATGTAGCTTTGCCATCACAGAAATATATTATATATTAAAATAGAAAATAGTTATTTAAAATTGCACTAATATTTCACAATATTACTGTTTTTTTTGTGCTTTTAATTAAATAATTGCAGCCATACACATTCACACATCTTTGGCTGTTTTTGGGTGTCCTGTCATGAGTGTTGTGTTTTTTTAAGGCAGCATGTTAAGTTAAAAATAGTCCAACTTTTAAAAATGTATCTTGAGATCTGTGCACTCCATTCCATTCCACAGTTAGACCAACTCTTGCAAATCAATACATAATAGCCATGATATTATCATGATAGTCATGGCCAAAGGGCGTGAAAAAAAGATATCTTACGTTTTTCTTTACGATTCCTTACAGGGCAATGGCAAGGCCAAGCCACAGTGAGCATGTCCTGCAGCAGCTCAACAACCAAAGGGAGTGGGGTTTCCTCTGTGACTGCTGCATTGCTATAGGGGATATTTATTTCAGGGCCCACAAGGCCGTGCTGGCAGCCTGCAGCTCTTACTTCAGAATGATGTTCATCCGGGATCAGCAGGGGACGGCACGTTTTGATCTCAGCAACATGCAGATCAGCGCAGAGTGCTTCGATCTCATCCTGCAGCTCATGTACCTTGGCCGAATCGTCGTGGATCACTATGAATTTGAAGAGCTGAAATCATCTATGGCCTACCTACAAATGTACTACATCCCCGACTCACTTGAGGACCTCAGAGATATCCGAACATCCAATCTGACACCCTCGTCTTCTGCATCGTCCTCTTCATCATCCAGCTCCTCATCCAGTGTGGTGGGAAGCAAGATGATGTTCGGCGTTCGAATGTTTGAGCAGCAGCGACCAAGCCCTTCTGATAATGAATGCGCTCCCAAAGCCTCAACCACAACTGCTCGTCAGACCATTAATATCTCAACTGTCAGGCCTGCTGAAGATGTGGTCATACCACACCCTCCGCCACAATCGGAGACTGTTGTAGACCAACCATGTGACTTAAGGAAGAGAACATTAGGCCGAAGCTCTGCCATGAAAGAACGTCCTCGATTTGGCCGTACATACACTTGCGACGATTGCGGTTTTGTGTTCAGCTGTGAAAAGCTTCTAATTGAACACATCCTCACATGCACCAATCGCAAAGCTTTTCAGACACCCAAAGTCAACAAAAAGGTTTACGGCGATTCTGGCAAAGATGAGAGCTCAACCTCAGAGGGTACGGATGAGCACAGAACAGTTTGCAAGGGCGAAGAGGACTGGCCAGACCACAAGTCGGACACAGAGACGGTGATCAGGTCTGTCGCCACTGGCATGGACAG